TCAGCCTGTAAGCTTGTAAATCATCATCACCCTTGCAGTCGCACACATTTGTAAGGTTATCAGAGTTAATGCATGCAGACAGTAATCCAATGGAAGGGTACTTGTTATCCATTAGGATTTGATCAAGTGTTCTAAACTGAAAGATACAAGTCATACACTTGTAAGGGTAACAGAGTTAATGCATGAAGACAGTAATCCAATGGAAGGGTACTTGTTGCCATTAGTTTTTGATCAAGTGTTCTAAAGTGAAAGATACAAGTAGGGGTAATAGCTAGACAAATCAGTTTTCTAATGGCACTTCCATATGAGAACACAATGTACATGGGATAACTTTATGATAAATCTTAATAGCGACATGAGTACCTGAGATAAGATTTTTAGATGTTAAGATTCTAACGCTCTAGCTCATGAACTAATTAACCATAATTATTACTTTTTTTTGTGTCATAATTCTTACCTTTTGTATGTTCTTTTGGAGGTAAGGAATGCAAAGAAAAATAGGATCTATTGGTGTAGTCACTAATAGGCTACCATCTAAAACAAACAAATAAATTAATAATGGCATAGGTAAAATAGATATTTCATATAAAATATCACTGATTGTAAGTTTCCTTATCACTGGCTGTTGCAAATTTCCTGGATATATGTGTATTCATTTGTCCAAGGCTTTCACTGGGGTTTTTAATAAACTCCTCACCTTTTTGTATAGTATTATCAATAAACCAAGATCGAGGTTCCTCACAGAATTTATTAACTTCATAAATGTTTTCTCTGTTTTGTGAAATTATATACTGACATCCTTTATCTGTAAAGATAGAGATTTTTGAAAATTGGTTATGTTTATTTGGCATTCATGACAGATCAAATTTAAAAAAATAATAAAAAACAAGTTATCAAATGGTAAAAAATATGATTCCACGTCTTCATTTTGATGTTTACTGTATTCCAGGTAATCCTAACCCCTACCCCCTGAGGCCAAAGACTTGAGGCCCCGAGCTCGGGCAATTCCAACGTGCATGGGTAGTTTCTAGAGTTCTTGTGAATTGCGAACGCGAGGTGAGACAAAAACGCTTTTATTGCAAACTTTACCTGTCTTSGGATGCACCAGTGTTATAAATTTGGGTTCTTCGTCACTTTCAGCTCGGTTTGTCAACGCTGCTTCTGTTGCACGAGAGAGAAAAACATGTTGTTCTTTAGCGTGGAAAACTACATCACATAAGGGTAAAGTATTCAGGTAAGACACTAATAGAAATCATTTCAACAAAAATGCGACACTTTTCAATGGTCAAACGTCATATTTCTTGTAGTGGGARGTAAAACGAGAGTTCCACAACAGAAAATCTCCGCGTCTAATCACAAATCGGCACTTTTTTCGACTTACCAGGACCAATCATGACCCACTGATTAATATCCCTGTTAAGAGCTTTATCTTTCTTCTTTGATGGAGCCATTTTATGCAATTATAAACACGACTTTCGTAGCAAATTTGCTCACTACGATCGTTTTGTTTCCCGCGTAAATTTTACCGCTGAACAAATCACGTGAGGACGTTTAGAATTTCGGGATTCCTGTGGCGTCTTAGTTTTTTTCTGTTGATCAAGCTATATAATATGTTCCTGTTAATTTTCTAAGTCAAAAACCTTTGCAATAGGTAACCAAGTGATAGGATCCACGTGCCCCCAAAGATTTTGACAATTTTTCAAATTTATTTAAAAGTATAAAGGAAAGAAATATACGATTTTTCAAGCTTTTTACTATCTTTGCACCCCTCCCCCCCCACTCCCCCGACACACACATCTAACTGCTTTCATTGAAAATAACCAGCTGAACAGAACAAAGTGAGAACATTTTTATTTATTCCAATCTGTAATCGTCATTATACACAGTTTTTCAAATACTGAAAATGGAAATTGT